GGGTCCTCACCCTCGCCCCGCTCCGGGGCTTTCCCTCGCTAGGCTGCGTTCCAGAAGGCCGCCGAGGAGGTGAAGAAGCTCAAGTCCCAGCCGACGGACCAGGAGATGCTGGATGTCTACAGCCACTACAAACAGGCCACGGTGGGCGACGTGAACACGGGTAGGCAGCGTGGGGACTGCGGCGGCCGGGCGGGGGCGATGCAGCTACGGCCTGAGGCCGAACCCGAGTCGGAGGCGCCATGGGAGGCGAAACCGCTCCACGGCTGTGCCCTGCGCCGTGCGACCCGGCGGCTTAGCAGGAGTGACTCGACCCTGGCTTGGCACGAATTTGTGTGCCGGTGGGCGTCCCCTGGACTGATGAGGGCTTGTGCAACTTGTGGTTTTTCGATTAACCCAGCTGCAGTCATCTCAATCGTAGAGCGACGGCCTGAGAATCCTATGTGTTGCATTGTGCAAACACTAGATTTGGGATTTTTGAAAACCTCTATTGGTAAATAGCTGCCTAGGTTAAGGCACACAAATAAAAGATGCCACATGCTTTTCACCTGAAAATAACTAGATTTATATTAAACATCAAAGATGGGCATTTTCATGATGGCTGTTCCACAGGGGCTTAAGATATGGAGGGCAGGATACAGAGTAGAGAAGAGGGGAGAGCATTCAACTCCCTTTCTCCTGGGCAGCATGGAAGAACATTGTAGGAATATAGATTTGGGAGCACAGACAATTAGAAATCCCTGATTTTCACTTTTACAGTATAGGCCTAACAGACTGACCCCATGTAGGGCTAGGACTGAGCACTGTCCAGCGCTCTCTCAGTGCTGCTTTAGTACAAACGGTTCTCAACTAAAGGGACTTAAAGAGACAAACTGTATGTGTGGAATTGCAATATCGGTTTGTTTAAGCCAGATTGGCTGCTAAAAATCGTATTGGAAAGACAAAACAGAAGAACAGGAGAAAACTTTTATAGGAACAGCAATTAAATATCATATCTTGGGAGGACTGTAGCAAAAATATCTCAGCAGGTGTGCTATCCAAAATCTCTCCTGCTACTTCTGTTGCTATGCTTCTGTCACTGGCAGCTCAGCCTGGGAGTAACATTTAGCGTGAAGTCTGACTCTGTTGACCTTGTGTAACACTTGGGTAACTAGAATTAGAAAGGAAGAAGGTAATTTGTTTGGAGCACTGGCCTCCTGACCCAGTTGCTGGTGAAGTTTATTGGGTATTGGTGGAGTTCAAAGCCAGCAGTAAAATGTACAAGAAATAGTAAGTATGGGCATGTGCAGTCTTTTTCCCAAACTGGGCAGCTTGGAGGGAGAAAAGAACTGGCCTTAGATTTAAGATGTGAGCCTTTTGGTGTGGCTGGGCCTTAGCAGTATTAATGTTTGCTGAGGTGAAATGGTGCTCTGGAGCTGTCAATGTACCAACATTTCTGTAAGTTGCAGCATTGTTGTGAAGCAATAGCTGACAGGAGTTGGCTGGAAAAGTAGTCTGTGTAGGAGTAAGCTAATGCTGGAGAGAAGTGGTGCTGCCAACTAGGTCTGCGGCTCGTGTTGCCATGTGAGCAGTGCAAGGGTATTTTTGTGGCTAATGTACAGCCTACTGCCCAGTTCCCTCTGTTAATCCTAAGAATTGCCTTTAAGGAAACTGAGGAAGTAAAAACAGAGAGAGGACTTTTCGTGGAGCATGACCGTACCCATATACTGCTTGGCCACAGTGTAGCCCGCAATGAAGTGAGTTAGAATTCACAGCTTACACCCCTAGAGAGCAGAATAAATGAAGAGCTAGATGTTAGAAACACACCATTGACTTGATCATAATGAGTCCTAAGCTGTATGCTGCTAGGTTTTGTTTTCATGTCTCTTCATGTAATGGATTTCAGGGCATTTCTGCTTTATTTTAGAGCTGGTGTCATTTAATGGGGTAGCTGTCATGAGACTGCTGTAGGATAAAACCAAATCCCACTATTTGGTCCTCATCTGCTCAAATGCTGCTGTCTTAGGGGGACTTGCCAGAGAATGTCTCTGTTGCCACCAGTAGCATTCCAACATGCTCCCTCGAGGTGATCTCCTGACAGGTTGCTAAATAACAGCTGCAAAGGTGAACCATTGTATTTTATTGTACTAGAGAGCTAAATAGCCTTCAGGAAAGGAGTAGGTATTACCTACAGCCAGACCACACAAAGTAATTCTGCTGCTTACCCTGTCTCTCAGAGCGCCCTGGTATGCTGGACTTCAAAGGCAAAGCAAAGTGGGATGCCTGGAATGCATTGAAAGGTAAGGATCTGCTTAAAAACAAAAATAATCCAACAGAGAAGTGTATGTGGCTCAAATAAAATAGTGTTGCCTTGTAAGACACGAGTTCTAGAAGTTCAGAATGCTGTGATAATAAACTCTTACTTTTGATAACCTCTGAAAGGTAGAAGTAATCCTGAAAAATGTAGCCTGTTTGAAAGAGAATTAAGGTGCAAAATCCCCAGCTGGACGCAGATGCTAAAACCCAAGCAGAAACCTACATCTCTGTTTCCCAGGTCCTAGCCTAGTACCCCAGAGACTGAGCTCTCCCTGCAGTTTTTTGGTTTCTTCTTAAGCTCTCCTAACTGGAAGATACAACTGGGTTCTTCCCTGCTCTAGACAAGGAGCCAGACAAGTGGTCTAATCTATGAAAACAAGACCTTTCTTGTGTTCTAAGGAGCCAGCACTACACCTAAATGGAGTCTTAAGTTGATTGAATAGTTTTTGTGTAATAATTTTGAATGATAATAGAGCTAATACACTGTTTAGTTGCTGTCTATACAAATATAACTTTGTTTCAAAACACTGTTTTCTTGTGACTGCTGAACACATTTGTTTAAAACTTCAATACTAGATTCACAGCCAAGTGACCTCCTTGGCTTCTTTGCTCTCTGGTAGCATGCTCCTACACGCTGTCACACGGAATTGTGACTTGTGTGCAGAAGGTATCTCACTGCTTCCTCTGTTCTCTCCTGCAGGGATGTCCAAAGAAGATGCAATGAAAGCTTACGTAGCAAAAGTGGAGGAACTAAAGGGCAAATACGGCATCTGAGGACTGGATAGAGCAGCCATTTGCACGCCTGACACATGCCTTATTTCTAATATAGGGGGGGAAAACGGTTTCTGAGGTTAATTTCAAATACCTAGGGTATTCTAGTCGGTTCCCCTTGTGCCTGTAGTTCAGGGGAAGTTGTCTACCTGCCTAATGTACTGACATGTTATGAATTCCTTCTGGGAACAAAATCTGGAACTCATTAAAGTGCGTTTGGTACTTTAGCTGTTGTGATGATCGATCGTCCCTGAGAGCTGGTCCCTTCCCTGTGGTGTCAAACCCTTCTCTGGAAGGCGGGAGGCAGCCTCTCCACTCGGTGTGCCACTAGAGGGGGCTCGGTAATCTCTGTTTGAGGGAACGGGGACGCCAAACCCACCGGTGATGTGTGATCCTGCTTTGCCCACTTTCTCATGTAGACGGTGGCAACCCACAGAAGCTGGACCACCACAAAGATTGTCGTGAAGAGTCTAGGTCTAGTGCTGTGTATACTGAGAACAACGTGCATGGTATTTGGTGCTTCTGGGAGATGTTACTCCCATTCCAATACTCTGCAGCTGAATGCAGAACCTTCCCTGTGAAAGAACAGACTCTGCAGACAGTGAGAGTTGTTGGTGCTCAGTGCTGTACTGCTGTAAGCACAGAGTACTGGTGTTGCTGTGTACTGAGGCTACAGTGAGGAGTGAATCAAGTTTGAACTGGCTTAACACTGGCAAGGCTGTAGGTGAATTACTTACACCTAAATAAAAATAATACACCTAAATAAAAACACCTGAACAGTGTATTACAGTGATCATCAGGGAAAGCTTTATTAGAAAACTCAGTTTATTATGAAATCCATAGGTGGTCCCAGTTGTGACCATCTCTAGTAGGCTTTTACCTTTTTGATCTGCCTAGTATAGTCTGTTGAAGCTGCTGATGCTGGAAAGAGAGACTTTGCTTTCAAAATGGGACATTGAAGTATTCCAGTATAGAGTATATAAGAACAAGGTCCCAGCCTTATACAGGGATGAGGCAATCTAAATGAGGCAATCTAATCCCACCATACTGGTTGGCATATGAACAGGTGAGGACTTCAAATGATCTTCAGATAAGCAGCTGGTTTATAGAAGCACATAGGGATGAAACTTACCATTACATATCTAGGTAAATACATGTTCTGTACTAATTCACACAAGCTTTGCTGTGTGTAGTATCTAACTTGTATTTCCTCATGTCACTGATAAGAGATGGAAATAATTTTACCTCTCATGCTTTCTAAAGTTATTAACTTCCCCCTTTGCTACTTTCAATGGGAAATACTCTTGGAGCTACTTGTTCACCCTTAAAAACATGTTAAGATAAAAAAGAGTTTGTTCCCTGTTCTTGTAAAGAAAAAGGTTGTTTATTCCTGTTCTTCTGGGTAAGTAAGGTAAGTATTTTGGGGTTTTCAAATCTTCTTGTATCCTCTGTTAGGTACTTGAGACTGTGCTAATTACATTCACTTTGAGTAACAGGGGTAAGAGCAAGTGTTCAGGATGAGAGATGCTTTTAGCCCTTTGCTAGCTGTAAATTCCAGAGCCAGCTCCACACTCACAGCTGTATTTTGTGAAGCTGTTTACCCGTGGAGGGCTCTGCCAACCTCTAGCAGAGTGTTGCTGGTACCAGCAAATGCTCCCACTTCTGCTCTTCTTCACTGGAAGCTGATGTGCTGCAAGCAGACTGTCCATTGCTAACATGATTTCTGTCAAAATGGGCATTTTCAGAATTTTTACTGCTGAAGCAGTGGAATTGGACTCTGACTAAAGAGTGGGCTGGGAGCAGCAAATTCTATATCCTGGTTCTCCAACCTGACTAGTTGTTGCAGTGCTGCTCTTTCTTATACCTGTTTGGTGTTAGGAACACATGGCTATGTACACAGGGCTTATCCCAGAGAGGGCTGGGTCTTAGCCAGGCTTTTATACATGGGCTTCTACTTAAAAATAATGCTATTTGCCAGTCTGTACAAGTGACAGAGAGAACTCTACCTTGGATGTATTTATCTGGATACTTTATTTTTACTGAAGTAACACCACCTTCCTGCTTGCATCTTCACCTTCATTAGGAACATCAGTGGTCTATTTAGCTTGCTCTTTGGCAATGAATCTGCCCTTTGGCAATCAGCTGCACCCCAGGAGTAAGCCAAAAGACTGAAGTTGTGGGAGTGAGAGCTGTGCAGTAAGAGGTGGCATGGAGGGCACTGAGGCAGAAACCAAGGTCTGGGTGAGTGCTCATGGAGAGAAGCAGCAGCAGCAGCAGCTGAGTACTACCACTGCAGGGAGAGCTGGGAAAAAGTGAAGAGAGCTGGGGTTGGTTGTTTAGCAGCAGGAGGGATGTCCATGCATGCGTGGGATGTTGAGCTCTCTGCAAGCGTTGCTGACTTACTGACTGCATGGCACTTGCTGGTGTGGAGTCAGAGGTTCCTTGGCTGCCCAAATAATGCTTTGGCAGTAGTGCTGCTAGGGCAGTCATGGTTCAAGGACATCTTCAAACAAGTTTGTAGGGTAGACGTAATTGCTCTTATTAAACTAATAAGGTGATAAAAATAGACCACTGTTAAGGTGGACAGCCTGGAGACTTGAAACAGAAGCAGCGAGCCCCACACCAAGCTGTAACTTCAGAGCTGTTGCTCTGCCTGCAGTAAGATGCTCTTGACGGAGGAGCAGAGGCTTTTGATGGCTGCAAAACAGGATTGTTCTGAGAGGCGTTCAGGGAGCTGCTGCTATTTCCTCTGTGTTGGATCAAAGGCAGGCAGCAACCTCCTGACCCACGCAGCGCTGGCGAGGGGTAACAGCCACGCACCGAAACGGGCCCAGCGGCAGCGCATTTCAGGGGCCAGCTGGCACCCGTGCTCAGGTCTGGTTTGCTGAGTTTGCAGAGCTTGTGGGATGGAATCTGGACTTTGGGTACAGCAATAACCACTATTAACTTGCCTGTGATAAGATCGTGCTCCTTCTGTCACGTTTCTACTATTAGCTCTTGCATAGAGAAACTAGTTGATGGGCACCCAGTGCAATTTGAGATAAGCTGTAGAGGGGATGATGTTTTCCTTGGTTTTTTTTTTTTCATGTGGGTTTTGCTTGCTCTTACCAAGCATGTGAAGGTGCAACATTTCTAGCGCAGATTTAACAACTCAGTATTGGTGTGCTACTTAAGGCAAATAATAGATTTTCCAGCCCTCTGAAGTGCAGTTTTCGGTTTGACTGAAAAGCCCTCCAAGGCTGACTGCAGTGTACAACTACCTTTCTGTCAAAATTCTTCAGTCCTCATCTGGAGTGATCTTGTTTCACAACACAAATATTTTAACCTTTAAACTTACTTGACCCTGATGATACTGCTAAAAATAAATGACAGTTGTATTTGCTGCTGTTTAAAATATTTGGTCTGCCCCCTGAGTGTTCAGAGCAAACAATATTGGGCAATGCCACTTTGGGGGGATTAGGCATCCGAGGAGTTTTGTGGGATTGGTAGGATATATTATAAATCAGGAGAGACAAAAAAAAAAAAAAAAAGAAAATTTATTTTGGCTTGGATAGTTTTCTAAATGCCACATCTGTCACTCAAAAAGGAAGGTGTAGTCTCCCAAGTTGTCAAAGCTGCTTAGAGGTAGGACACGTTGATGTTACATAGACATAACACAGCTGAGTGAGGGTCACAGTAATAAACTCAGAAGTGTAAAAGTTGATAGATTAGAACAAAATATAAAGCTGATATTCTCCCCCCCCCGCCAAGTATATTGAAGTATTTTCAGACTTAGATAACTGATGTATAAGTGACTCAATCTTCAGCTGCTCCTTTAAAGTGTAAATAACATCTATCCATTTTAGGCATGAGCCTGTATACCTTGTTTATAGAATCAGCTTGTATTTCCTCTGGAACCAGCATATCTGTGAACGTTAAACACACCTTGGTTGTGTTATTATAGAACAAAGAACTCACGTGGAGCTTGGCTGCAGCAGTCATTTAACCTTCATTCCCGTTTCCACCTGTAGCTACTGGATTTTTGGTTAGTTCCAGTACATATAACATTTATTTTTCCAGGTCTGTCACTCTTAGTGCCAGACCTGGGCATCTCCCAAAGTCTCAGTCTGCAAAATAGTGAAGATCTATTTGTCACCAAGATCAGGTCAACTTCTGTCTGGAAAGACACCTTGAAATAAGGATCTGACAAAAACAAGGTTTTAAATTCCCAGCCAGATCATGACAAAAATTAAAGATGTGATAAGAAAAAATTATATTCAACAGAAAAATGCATTTACAGAAGTAACCGACATCAAGATTAGGTCAACGTGTAACGGTGGTGACTTGGTCCCTTGTGTTCTGCTCTACCTCACAGTGAAATACTTTAGCAGGTAACCATTCCCTAAGGCCCTGCTGACTCCCAGACTTCAGTCCTGAGCCTGCTCTGGGCTTCTGCAGGAGAAAAGCTGGGACAGTTTCTGCAGTGTTAAACTTTTCATGGTTTTAAATGAACCTGATGAAATTATTTCCATGTTTTACAACAGTCTCTGGTAATTTCCATTATTTATGAACACATTTCCCTGAAAACTTTCTCTCCAGGGATAGGATGTGAAATACTCAAACAATAGAGAAAAGGGACTTTCTAAACAAAATAATGAAACTGGCAATATCCCAAGAACTCTGCATTAACACAGCTGAACCAAAAATACATTTGAAGTGCTTTAAAGGTCATTCCCTGTGTTGTTATGATGTAGGTAATGTATTTTTCAGGCAAAAAAAAAATCTTATTTTTCCTTTTAAAGCACTGAGGTGTTTTTATTGTAAAACACTGTTTTCACATATGCTTTTCCAAAATAATGATCTTGAGGCATTTTCTCACAGTCTGTCCTCAAGCAGTTCTGTTACTGTTTATCTGTAGAAGACAAAGAATATATTTGGCTTGTTTTGTTATGAGACAGTGAAGATAAACTAATTTTTCCGTTTTAATAAGGTGCACAGTTCTAGCAGGCTTCATAAATCCGGACCACCTTTCTACCAGAGGTTATCTCCAGCCACACAGCAGCAGAAACAAATCACTCCTACACTGTTAGTAACTGTCCTATTTACACAACTGTTACAGTCGCCCTCCCCTCCGTGACCTCAGTAAGGAGTGGATCTGAAAGTACCAATTCAATGCTGATATTAATTACAGATCAAGTTTAATTCTGGCTTATATTTTATATTTGGGAAAACTAAATACAAAATATTA